CCCCAGCCTCTCCCACCTACAATCAGAGCCCACCACAGCCCAGGGAGAAGCACCACCCACACCCGCTATGCACCACGCAGCTCTCACCCGCAGGCCTCACCACCCGCCGGGGATTCTTCTTGAATATTGCTTCATGCTCGTCTGCCAAGGCACTGCTGCGGCTCCCCACGGCAGCATCCTGGGGAGGAAGGGTCCCTTCAGAGCAGGGCAGGCCTGGGCACCCCACAGGGCTCCCAGCCCCATGCCCCAGGACAGGGCTGAGCCCCCCACGGAGCTCCCAGCCCCATGCCCCAGGACAGGGCTGAGCCTGTCGGAGCAGCGGCACACACCCGTCCATTGGAGAACGTGTTTTTGGAGCGGAGAGGGAGGGTCAGGCTGGAGGCAGCGGGTCCTGCCGGTGCAGCAACCTGTTTAACATCCCTGAGAGGAGCAGCTCTCTCCAGGGAGTTACTCCTGTGGAGGACACAGGAAGGTCTGTCCCAGGCCAAGAGCAAGGCTGGGAGAGCAAGCACTGGCCAGGAAGTGCCATCTCCCCACAAACTTCCCAGAGCCACACAAGCTCCCGGGAGCACCCCGGCCTGGGAAGTAGAGGACCACGGGAGCCAGCTCCCCCTACCAGACTGAGAAAAACACACTTCAGATAAGGTCCTCATCCTCTGCCAGGCCAGTCTTGCCAGGGACAACCCACCCAGGGAGCCCCTCACCTGCCCCCCACGCCACCAGGACTAGGTCTGTAGCTATCCAGTCTCATGTTTTCCATAGACTCTGTGTCACTCTTGCCATCCTGAGGGTCTGAGGCATCCGGAAACAAACTGCAGACAAACAAAACCACAGGTATGTCCTGTTTGGCGAGGAGGTTGGTCTGAGGAAGAGCTGCTGTGCCACCAATGATCCAAGCAGGGTGGCAGCATCCCTCCCGTCCCCGCAGCAGATGAGTCCTGACATCTGGAGCGGGGGGATGGCAGGGATCCTCACCTGGGACTCTCCCGGGGTGCTGGAGGGCTCTGCTGCCGGGCTGCAGAGGAGCTTTTGGGCTCACCGAGCTGGGCTTTCTGCAGGAGGGTTTGTCCCACAGTTTCTCTTTTGCTGGCTGGGAGGAGAAAGGCATCAGGAGGACCGCTGCTCCAGCCAGCTCCACACTGGGCAGAAGAGTGCCAGGGAAAGCTGGAGCATGCCAGAGGG